GGATCAGATATTAGCCTTGGTGAGGGCGTCGAGAACGAGAGCTTTCTCGAACAAAATACGACGGGGCAAGCTATCTGACGTAAGTAAATGTTAAACATGATGATGTTGCCCAATCCTCGGGTAAAGTTACCATCTTTAGCTTTCTCTGATGCTTATTGGGTAGTCAGAGGTTTCTGCTGGGGGAGTTGTGTCGACAAATGTTAAATTTTTCACCCGCACACGGATGGTGATAGACATCTCGGGGGCCGCTGTTACGTTTGTTTTGAGCATTTCTTTACACACTGGTATATTTCAGCGTTTGTACGGCAACAGCGCGATTTAAAATCTGCAAATAAATCACGGGTTGTCAATTGCCTTCTTCGGGAAATAGCAGACGCTCACAATTCAAGCTCGCGTTTGATTTCGTGGCCCGCGGGACCCGATTTTTATCAGAAAATCTACTTTTTTTCCCGTTCGGTTCCGCGACACATCGTAGCAGACGAACCCTCGTCGTCTGCTTCCGCTCCTCGCCGGCCCCGCCGGAGCGAGGCATGACGGGATTGCATTTTGGCGCACTCCCGATTTTCTCGGTGCAGCGAGTGCATGCACGCGTGGGGTGTCAGCGCTGAAACGAACTCGGAGAGTGCAACCACTCGTGGAGTGCCGGCCGAAACGAACCCGTTCCACGCTGCGAGTGGGCACGCGTGGGCACGAGTGCCGTGAAACGAACTCGCTAGTAGATAGTGACGTTGCGATGCCATGGCAACGCGCGAGCCACTTCTCTGTGCGTCTTTCACGTTGAAAAGGAGATCAGAGTTGTTTCGTTTGGTCTGGTATCCATATCCACCCCCCCTCCCCCATGTTTTTCATAACGCAGAGGTCTCTCGAAACTGCGCGACTTTTCTCCTTTCTGTACGACAAGACGCAGCCAGACTACCTAGATAAGGACGCTAAATACAACCGCTAGAAAATTATCAGAGATGAATTCGGAATAACGGGTGAGTTTCTCCGTGGCATTTGTTGCATATCGCCTGCGCTGTGACGGATGTCGTGTTGATTTCGGGACACTTTCGAAAGTACCCTTCCTTTCTGTCGCGTAGCCGAGGCAGAAAAGCACTGACACATGCCCTTTGATGTTTCGGTAGCACCAACTCGGCCGGACTCAAAGCCTGCGTCTCTTTCCCATCAAAGCGACGGAGATGAATAAGTAAATTTTAGAGACCATAGGAAGCTTCGAAAGGCGCGGAAGCACCACGTGACAAATATTGGCCAGTCACGTGATAAATAGCGGCCACTTTTCTGCGGTGCCCGTCCAGAAATTCGTATAGCGCCGTAAATATAGCTCTAAACAATTTTTCTTTTAGAGCGCAGCTCTTAGGCGCCCGTTTCCGGCTTCAGCGGCGTCGGCGTAACCGCGAGGTCACGTGACCCCACAAGGTCACGTGATCCACTAAGGTCACCCCAAAGTCACGTGACCCCCAGAGGTCACGTGACTCCCCAAGTCACCTGCCCCCCCCCCCCCGAGGTCACGTGACCCCCCTCCCCCCCCCCCCCGAAGTCACGTGACACCCCCCCTCCCCTCGAGGTCCCGTGACTCCCTCCCCCCGAGGTCAGGGAACCCCCCCGGAGCATATTCAAGAATGAGGGGAGGAGGAGGAGAAGGAGGACGACGAGGAGGAGGAAGTGTCTACCCTAACTTCAGTACCCTTCCCTCCTCCTCCTCAAGAGCTGCGCTCCGGTTCGGTGTTACAGGGAGTTGTAAACGGCTTTCAATCTTGTTTTATTCTAAATTCGTTTTATGACTTCCTTTTCCCAAACAGGCGGTTTAAAAAAAAAGAATTTCCTTTCCATTTGTTTTTTTTGAGTGGCGAGAAGAGTGCTCTGTATTTACTTTTATGCACAAGGGGTACACGTGAACTACGAATGTCCTTCAGACGATCATGCGCAAGCATCCCCCGCAACAAAACAGAAAAAATGTGGCCAGAAAGCCATAGAACATGGGTGGCCGAGCTATGGCTCTTCGCGCGTTAAAAAGCGGCTCGTGGCTCCTTTCCCCCCCCCCTCCCCCCCCCCCCCCCCCCCCCCACACACACACACACACACACTTCCCCAAAAAGAGAAATGGAACGCGTTTGAAATTTTAGGTCGCAAGACAGGTCGCGGTTCGGCAGTCTTGTCTTGTGCTATTGCTACCTTATGTACTGTTGGACTGCTTTTGACTCGGCTAGAGTGAAAGAAGTTCGAGTTTCGGGAAAGGGAAGGGGAGGGGGGGGGGGGCAAACAAAAGTTTGCGCCCCCCCCCCCCCTTGCGGTTCTTTGAAGTTTCGTTGGTTGGTTTGCGGCTCTTAGGCCGGATCAGCCTGACCACCCCCGACCTAGAAGGCAAATGGCTCGTTCGATTTACCTGCACCTCCTGCACTAATGCAGCAAAGGGTAGGGCAGTTTACTTCCGGTATCTGTATTGAGATACGACCGGAAGTACACTGCCCTACAGTTTTCTGCACCGGTGCAGGAAGTGCAGGTAAATCGAAGGAGCCCAAAGCTTCAGTTCTTTCCCCCAAACGTCCTCACTCGTTAATCCACGCAGCGCCACCTGTTATCTGCAGCTTTGGGGCGACTCTCGTCGAACTTGGCATGTCTGCCGCTTGGGGCGGGTATAGCGGATCTACCAATAATGACGCCATACTCAAGCCTCGTCTTCCAGGTGGCGACGCCCCAAAAGAGGAAGCACTGTTCGCCTGCCAAGGCTTTATATCTACCTAAAAAAAAGCTAAACCAGCAGCGAACTTATGCGGAGCGCAAGTTCGTCCGCTTGTTTTGCAGAGGTTGTGGTGACGCCAGAACGCCGAGCTCTGGTTGGCTGTGATTGAAAAATAGTGGGTAGACTTCAAAGCAGCTTGCTTTGAGGTCTAGTGGGTAGTGGGTAGATCTTAAAGCATCTCGTTTTGAGGTCTACCACTAGCCTTCAATCAGAGCCAATCGGAGCTCGGCGTTTTGATATCACCACAACCCCTGCAATACAAGCGGACGACGCATCACTGCGCTCCGCATAGTGAAGCTGTAGGTTGACGCTCGGACTCAGAGGCTTCGTTGAACTTTTATTGTGTTTCTAGACCGTAATTTAAAAGCTCGTGTTCGTAATAACGAACCAAAATGCATGCATTTTTCCTTCTCAAACGAGCTGTGCAAAGTCCAGACTGGGGAATTTTATATTAACCAGGCAGAAATGCACGAAGGCAGATCGGTCCCAGACATGTTTGTCTGCATAGCGCGGTGTTCGTTATGAATTCGTGATAACGAGATATTGTCAAAAATCGCAATTGATGAGGCGATGATAACTGAAGAAACCAAACGTTTAACGGGGCGAACTTGTGCCCAAAACAAAAAGGGAACAGAAGAAAACAGGAGAGCGACGCTTGCGACGCCCTCCTGTTTTCTTCTGTTCCCTTTTTGTTTTGGGCACAAGTTCGCCCCGTTAAACGTTTGGTTTCTTCAGTTATCATCGCCTCATCAATTGTCATTTCTGACAATCGATGAGTGCTGGGGCGAGCGCGACTGACTGAGCGACTGACTGACAGAATCGAGTGCTGGGGCGAGCGATTCTGCGGCTTCGCCACGGGGAGAGCGCCGGGGCGAGCGCGACTGACTGCGGCTCGCCACGCGGAGCCCCGTTTGTACACGCGTGGGCTCCTCGAACAATCGGCGTAGAACGTTCGCGCATAGAACATTCTTACCTCGAACATGCCCAACAGAGTTCTCGAATATACCAGAACAGTAAATTTCAAGAATAAATAAAAGACGTGTCGCGCCCAGGAATCGAACCCTGGCTCTTCGCGTGGGAAGCAAGCACTATAACCGTTAGGCCAGGGCCGCGCGGCCTACTTGGCCACAATATCACTTATAACTGGCTATGTCTGTCTGTCTGTCTATCTTCCCTCCCTGTCACTCTGTGTGCGTGTGCGCGCAGGCTTAATCTTTTTTAACTGACGAACTTAGTTGAAGGTAATAAGTTGAACGTTTTGAAGTCCCCTGAAGTGCGTCGCTTTTCACTCGTGTTTAGTCTGATAGGAATATATATTGCCTAATGATTATTTTATTCGAACATAAAGCGAAAGCAGACGGATTGTGTCAAATAATAGACAAACTATAAACGACTATTCCCTACATTATTTGTGTAAGACAGGTGTACGTCAGCATGTAAAACACAATTCAAATTACCTTTATTTTTGCTCACCACCCTGAATCAAATCAAATCACTGTTATTGACGGTTTTCATCGAGAAATACCGTAAGTTAAATACAAAAAGTTGTCCAGTTACGTAGGTATTATTAGACGAATACCGTATTGCTGCTCATATGATTCATGGTGACTGAATCGACAGTGTTAAAAAAGTTTGGTAAACAGATGCGGAAAGCTTGAAAGTGTATCAAGTTTTTGTTTGTGAAGAATCGGCTCCTGCAAACCAAAAGAGAACAAGGAACCCGACCTTATGTGGTCGGCAGTTTCAATAGTTTATAGACTTACATAGCCATAAGAAATCATAAAAGTGAATTGCTAAGTCGAGTATATCTGCGTCAACTGCAGTAGAAATAAGGTGTAAAGTTAAGCAGGCAAATATTATGACATGTTCATGACAAATGTAAAATAAGCTTACTTCAAACTGGGACATGTCAAATAAATATCGTAAGAATAATATTATAAAAATGTTCATTTTTTGTTGCATCGTGGGCAAGACGCAAACATCTTGTGCTTTCTTTTAGACGCACTAAGAGTTTTGTAAACTATGCTTTAGAAAAAAATAAATGAGCAAATCAGCTGGTGTAAATTCAACTTAATTACAAAAAATACCCGAGACAGCACAAACATGAAGTATCTAAAATATTGAGGCCGTTTCTGTACCATCGCTGTTCCCACAAAAAGGTATTACCTGGTCTTGGTGATTGCTTATAAGAATGATTGCTTAGGGGCGTATATTTCGAGATCAAAAACCATGATGTGTATTACAAGCCGCACATTCCCAGGCTGTAATGGAGACAACGATTGATAATAACAACGACGAACTCTGGAAGAAGGTCACCCCTATCGACACCGTACCAACCTCAATACGCAACATGGTTGCAAGCAGACTGGCAATAACGGGAAAAGACTGGACCAACATTTTTGCGAAGTTCAACAGCGGCACGTGAGTTATATCACGAAAACAGTATAGTCTCGTATAAATATTCTGTCAAATGCAATAAGATATTATAGCAAATGATAGAGTATCTAACGAGAAAAAATTGCTATTATGATGATATGCAGTATGATATTTGGCGAGAGAATTTCGAATGTATAAAGAACTTCACTTCCTTTCTGTCCATACATCTCTTTTTTTGGGGGCATGACATAATTTCACCTTGAAATGGCGCCACGAATACAATCTGATAGGGAAATACCTCCAAACTTACTAGATTATAGACGCTTTGCACACGCGCCAGATTGAGCCGCCATTGCCGCCCTTCTCTTGTCTTACCAAGATACCGAGCCACTGAAGCGGGCGTTGACGGGTCTTCACAAGGGCCAATGCTGGGCACAAGAACACAGTACCATCTAAAATTGCAATAACCTGTCCTGCTGTGGTAATGATAAAGTGAAGCGAACGCGGAATAAGAGGGAACAAAAACTGAAGGTCAGTTATGGCGGCGCCCATGCACAGCTGCTGCAAAGCGTCTATACTACTAATACCCTTGTAATACCCCTGTTACACGGGCACACCTAACTGCAGTTACGCTAAACCACAATTAGCGCACAATACTTGCCGACAACATTCTGCGGCGATGCAGTCAGAGCAATGGGCGAACGTGCGCTTGAGCATCTTGAGCATCTATCGAAGCAGTGCGCGCGCGCTCTTCACTTCTTCTGAAATAGCTGCCCGAGGGTATAGTGCGGCATCTGTGCTTCCACGTAACCACAGTTAAAGCTGAGTTAACCGCGGTTAAGTGTGCCCGTGTAACAGGGGTATTACACGGGCACACTTAACTGCGGTTACGCTAAGCCACAGTTAGCGCACAATACTTGCCGACAACATTCTGCGGCGATGCAGTCAGAGCTATGGGCGAACGTGCGCTTGCGCATCTTGAGCACCCATGAAAGCACTGCACGCGCTCTCTTCACTTCTTTTGAAATAGCTGTCCGAGGGTATAGTGCGGCATCTGTGCTGCCACGTAACCGCAGTTAAAGCTGAGTTAACCGCGGTTAAGTGTGCCCGTGTAACAGCGGCATAACACGCAGTTCCTAACCCACTTCGCTGACCCTGTTCTTACACACCGTAGGGGATAGAGAGTTAGAAAGACGGGAGTGTTAGCACACCGCTTACTCGCCGCCCCCCAAACAAACATATATACCGACAGAAACGCACACCGAATACTTTAACAGGAGAATGCATTCTGCTCCGCTCATTTGCATTAGACAGCGCGCCTACAGCGCCAAATCTTCCCCGAGCGGCGGGGAACCTCGCGTCCGAGAGCGCATGCGCTTCGCACTTTCGGCTTTCTCGTTGCGTCGAGATAGAGTGCTGCCACCAACGAACCGACATACCGGATTCGCCTAGAAAGTGGAGACGACTGTCTTCGCTATCTCGAGGGGTTTGCGCAAAGATAGATAACGGCGACCACTTCCCCCAGTTTAAAGGGGGGAAACTCCGAGCCAGCGCGCGCGAAGCCTTTCCAACTACGAAAAAGCTGTCGGCGCCAAGTTCATTGGATATTCGCCGAGTAAGAATTTGCACTCACACTTTTCGCGACACTACGCCTTTTGTCGCGCGCGCTGCAGAGGTAGTAGTAATGCGAGACCAATTATAAGGAAGTTAACAAAAATCGGAAATCACTTCCGCTTCTTCGCTATACAGGGTGTTTCACGAAAGGTGGACAAATTTGATATTGCGAAAACTACGCGTCGCAACAAAAAAAGGCTTCTGTCGTTTTGGTCCTGGGCCAGGGGCCGGCCTATTTAAGAAAATCATTAAAGTTCGAGATAATTAGATTGCTAATTATTTTTCGCGCAATTAACTGTTTTAATATTGTGTTTAAGGGTATGGTTTCAATTAGAAAATTGCTCAGCATCATCGAAAAACACTAAATAAAAAAACTGCAGAACAATAGAAGGCACGCGAAGAATTTTGCGGCTTTCTGAAAATCCGCACAAATTCGACGGGTTTTTAAGTTTCGGTTTGCAATCGTAGCGCATCTCGGCCCCGACGACACCGCGCCCCGTGCAGAAATAGTGCAACCTAGTGCAACCAGCCTCTTTTGCGTTGCGCGAGGACAGCGCAGCAGAGGATGGTTGCACTATCTCTCCACGGGACGCGGTGCCGTCGGGGCCGAGATGCGCTACGATTGCAAACCGAAACTTAAAAACCCGTCGAATTTGCGCGGATTTTCAGAAAGCCGTAAAATTCTTCGCGTGCCTTTTATCGTTCTGCAGTTTGTTGATTTAGTGTTCTTCGATGATGCTGAGGAACTTTCTGATTGAAACCATGCCCTTAAACCCAATATTAAAAAAATTATTTACGCAAAATAATTAAAATTTAATTATCCAGGACATTAATCATTTTCCTAAATAGGCCCCTGGCCCAGGACCAAAAGGACACAAGCTTTTTTTTTTTTTTTTTTTTTTTGCGACGCGTAGTTTTTGCAATATCGAATTTGTACACTTTTCGTGAAACACCCTGTGTATTATGGTTTCCGTAAAAGTAACACGCAAAAAAAAATAAAGATAACACGGGCCGTCACGTGCAGATGTTTATCGTGCATGCAGAAACCGGTGGAGGGTGCCGTGCACGCGCTCTCTGGTAGATCGGAGCCGCTTCTCGCCAACTGTGAGGAGCTGCGGCCGAAAGATCCTGCGAGCTACGTACTGACCGTGCCGACAGTTGCGACGGCCGCCGCGGAGGACGTCGGTGGAGGACTCCATTTTTTACGTTTATGCGCACTTCGTCGAGGATGGCGGCGCGCTTTTGTTTCAAAGGGATTCCATTCATATTCCCCGTCGAGGTGCCGGCGGTGCCAGGACTCGCCATCGTTGAGTCGTTGACTGGCGAAAAGTTGCCGAATCGGTGCTTGAGCTTTCGGGCAGAGAGCGACCACACCGACTAGCGACGCTGACACGGAACACGAAGCAAACAAAGAAGCGCGCTCGGCACCGAGTTCGCGCTCAAGTGCTCAAGTTTGTGTTTCGTCGGTATTAGCGCCGAGACTAGAGTGCCTTCATACACACGCGCGCTTTTGCTTGAGTGGTGACATCTCAGCCATTTTTCCGCCCAACCTTTTTTTTTTTTTTTTTGCATTTCGAAGTGCGCGCGTACCGGTGTCACTCAGCTCGAGCGCGAAGCTTTGGCTAATGCATAGACGCCATTTTACCGCCCAAGTCATACACCGAGTGCGCGAGAGCGTCACGCGCTAGCAGATTCAGGGCAACAATGGATGTCCTCACCCTGAGACAGACAGACATGTAGGCACCCTAGCCGAGACCAGAGCTCTGGCCGAGACGTTTCGGTGGCGCCCTCTTATGGTTTCTCTCCGTGACGTCACGACTGGGATTTGCCTCGCCGTGATGTCAGCAGTTGTTATTCTGGCTACTTACCATCGGGTGCAACGACGAGTTCGATGGTGTGTTTAAAAAGCACAGTAGAAGCTAGGAGCCATCGCAATCCGAAACTAACACCGTCAAAGTTGACAATATAACAGTGCTCATATGCACATGGTTTGGCCAATCGTGGAAAGCTGACCACAGCGACGCTTTTGGCCAGGCACATTGCTAGCCTAAACTAAAGGAAGGAGGAAACTGCTCGATCGGGGTCACGCAGTTTGTGGGTCGCGTTTGCAAAACGAGCTGCAGCCTACTTGTAGTCAAAAGCTCTCATACACCGTCTGCAAACGTGTCCGCCTTTCCGCCGGTTTTTCCGCCACGCTGGCCACAAGACAACCAAATGCAGATGTACTTATGCCATGGTGAACAGAACAGCGCTCAAAAAGGCGAGGACAGAGAAAACGAACAGGCACAACACACAAGCGCTGACTCGCAACTGGATTGATACACAAAAGGAAAAAGAAGACGGCCTGATAGGACACGCAGGGCACGCAGCGCGTGTCACACGCGACACAAAACCATTTAACTACACTGTCTTTGCCCCATAGTCCGATCTAAAAACAAGGCTCCGGTTTGAAGCAGTGTCACTGACGGGTGGCTAATGCAGCAGACCCCCAAGCTGTTGATGCAATGCGCTTCCAAGATTTCGCGTGCCGTCTTTTGTCTCGATAATGTCCAGTTATTGTTGTGCCTTTAAAAATCAGGGTACACTAGCAGGAATTGCAATGAACGGGAACATGACCATCGCAATTCCTGCTCGTGTACTCCGATTCTTAAAGGCACAACAATAGTTGGACATTATCGAGACAAGACGACTCGCGAAATCTTGGAAGCGCATTGCATCAACAGCTTAGGGGGCTGCTGCATTAGCCACTCGTCAGTGACACTGCTTCAAACTGGAACCTTGTTTTTGGATCGGACTAAGGGGCAGATATTGTAATTCTTCAAAATTTGCGAATTCATTTTATCAATACCAGAAATGGAGCATATTTTAAGATCCTACAGTTTAGCGCTGGCCATAACTGGAAAAAAATATACGTAGGATTATCCGGAATAATAGAACTTTGAATGGTAGAAAACACTCTAATAAACAAATCGTTGAGTACACTGGCCTAATCAGTACTGGCAATATCTTCGCCGTTAAAATGAAAGAGGTTCCGGAAGGAATGTCCCCGGAAAAAAAGGCCCCATATAGAAAGTGGAAAATATTACCCCATAAAGTACTCTATCGCTGGGTTTTCCCTGATTCTCATGGCCTTCGGGCGATCCTGTCATTGTTTGGTCACAAATTACCTGATCTATCTAGAGGTAGAAAGGGAGACTAAAAGTCACACGAAGCAACCGAAGTAATATATTGTGGGATATTTTGGAAACCGGATATGACTTTATCGACAGAGTTCATTAATTTTAGATAGCCGGTCTCGTTCGTATCGTCTGGTCAGGTGCTTGGTCAGAGGAGTTCATTCACATCGGGGATTTGGCTGCTGTGAGGTGAGTTCTTTTATCATTCCATCAACAAATGAAAGTGCAATTTGCTTTCTGACAAATAATTAATTT